GTCTGATGTCTGAACATTAGAATACTATTAACATGTCTCTCGGTGTGAATATATCCGCTTGCCTTGCTACACTTATTATTAGTGTGTCGATTTTTTATGCTAGATGCTGCACCCACATGTTTTGACAAATTTGCAAGAAAAAATCAAAATGAAACCACAAAATACACGATGGAATTACTGTCACAAATGAAGTGAAAAATCATCGGATAATAATGAGACATATACCTCCAGCTGCCATTCAAATTTACCTTTGTAACGCGTTGGGAAGGCTACGAGTTCTCCACCCAATATTATTTCAAAAAAATAAAATCAGGCCAAATCTCATCTAGCCAAAAAAAGTCTATTTTCTCACTATTTTTTCAACCTGAAACATCATATATAAACTTTCTAGAGATTTTATTAAACTTATTTATAGTCTTAAATAATTATTCAATCAGTTTAAAAATCAAAAATCAACATGAATTTTAAAAACTTTTTAAGTATTGATCTAATTTTTTAAAAAAAGTATTGGAAGCAAAAAACATCTAAATAAAACTTATTAATGCTAAAAATAATCTTTTTAGTAGGTAAAATATAACAAACTGATGACTTTCTTGCTTATTGTTATTTTCTAGTTTTTTTTTTCTTTTCTTAAAGGATGTCATCATGGAAAACGATGAAAAAAAATTTCAGAACTGGAAAAAAAAAAAAAGGTTAGATTTCTTCTCAATGAAGAAGAAAGAAATTGTCTTGATGACATCGTTTTCTTTCTTAATGTAATGGAATACTATATGGCGATGAACAAGTAGTTTTTACTCTTATGAAACAATTATTGTAGCCACACGCATAGCCAAATTATGTGAATATATATTATTGTGAAGCAAATGTTTTTTAAATATATTTTTTATTTAAAATAATTTATTTTTTTATTTTTAACATGAACACATTTAAATAATTAAAAAACAGCAATTCAATATTTTTTTCAAGTCAAATAAACTTTTAAAATGCCTTCAGCAGTAATTATAAACACAAGATCAGAAGGTGTAATATGTGCCCAAAACCCGTCCTTTTTTCTTTCTTTGCTCAGTTATCTTCAAGATTTCTAGGTCTTTCTTTGTTTCTTTTTAATTCCATAGTCTCTAACGAACAAGCAGTAACTTCTTAGGCGTAGCTCGGCTGCTGGATGCCATGGATAGAACTAATATGAAGTTCAATAATTCTTTCAAGCAAGAATATTATACTCTTATTTGGTTCAGAAGGTTGTATAATAAATTTGCTTTCTGCATTTTTTTTATTAATTTCTAAAACAAGAAACTTCCTCTTTCAAATTTTCTTCTAATTCCACCTGCATAATTTGACATGGTAGATCCGATGGAATGGAAAAGGAGTGCTCTCATCAATATCAAAGTAAATCAATTTGTCGTAATTTGATAAGATGATTGCAACACTGAGATCCAAATAAGAATATTCTTGCTTGAAAGATCAAATATCAATACCTTTTCTGTTGGTATTGATCTTTGATCGACTTGCTTGTCTTCTACGATATGGATTTTTATAGAATTGAACAAGAAAAAATTATTCACTATTATACTCACAGAGAAAACACTGGGATAAAAGATAAAAGGCTAAATGCAGCAGCGACAGGGACGAGGTCAGTGAGAAAAAAAGGCAGGAAAAGGGCAAGAAAAACCAAGACTTTGCGGTGAAAAATTATTTTTATAAGAAAATATTTGTTTTTAATATATTTCTAAATAAAAAAAATATATTCAAAAATAATTAATAAGTAAAAAACAACCTTACTGAACTGTTTTTAATACATGCATTTAAAATATTGTAATTGATGATATGAAAATCCTCAAAACAATTAAATATTCGAAATAGTTAATAAGATTAAAAGTATGTTTGGGATTATAACGGTGACAATTTAAAATACTTTTTATTTATAAATATATTAAAATAAAAAAAATTATTTTTATAAAATTATTTTTGATATTAGCACATTAAAATAATCTAAAACTATTAAAAATTTTATTTTAAAAAAAAATAAAATTTAAAAAAACATAATTTATACCACATTCTCAAACATTTAAAAAAAATAAAGGTTGTCTAATATATTTCTTTTCTTTTTATATATATAAAAAAAAACCCTGTGCATGACTCTTTCTCCCTCCATGATTGGATTGTTAGGAATAGAACAATGTTTTTTTTTTTCTCAAAATTTTTAAGCAATTAAGTTCTTCTGAACAACACATCTTGTATATTTTAAGAAAAAATGTGTTACGCTATGGTGCAAGCCCATGAATCTATATTATTTTTTTAATCGTGTCAATTTACTGAGAAAAAGCTTAACCGGTGCTCAAAACACTCATTATAATGGCTACATTTCTCTGCCCATTGAACGTATTTTGTTGGGTTAGGTGCTCAAGAGCAATACCATTGGACCTTGAGGGTTACTACATAAATGGCAACATGTGGGCGAACGAAGCACATAGGGGATTAGTTAACCTGGGATTGTTTGGAATTTCATTTTAAATCAACCAGTGTTTTTTAAATATTTAATTTAAAAAAAATTATTATTTTAATATATTTTCAAACAAAAATATATTTTAAAAAATAATCACTACTAATAAAATCCAGATAAAAGTTTACGACAATTACATATCACCACACAATTTAGAGCCGTAAAAGAAACTTGGAATGACAACAAAATCATTTCTCCAAATGGTCCTGAAAAAGCAAAATTAACTAAGTCGAACTTCTCCTGTAATGTAGGTTGTTGTCTTCAACTCAATAAGCGATATCTTTTTTATCCCACCACACCGCTTCCCAAGTTGAATTACAGGCACTTGTTGATGCTTCTAGGAGCAGAAAGGAAGATAATGCTCGCATCATGTGCTGACTGAGATTCAAAACTTCAGACACCCTAAAGTGAGTTCTTGAGCATCTCGGAGCTATTTGCCATAAGTAATTCACCAACAACTATCAATCTTGTACAGGCATTAATTTCTTCTCGCTCTAGCAAATGGTTAAGTTTGCACAAGGAAAAACATCATTCCTTGTCAAGTAGTGGATCATAGAGCGGGATCGCTCCACCCCTAGTCATCTTCCCTATCCTTCTCCCTTTCTTGATCTTCAAACAAATCCTCAGCTGGATCATACACGATCATGTCAGGGAAAAGCTCCAGGAAGTCATCCTTTACCTGCTCTCTTAGTTCTGGGAATGGAATAAGCCCCTTCAAGATCACACGAAAAGGCAAAGATATTGGTGGATCAGGAGATTGTCTCATTTCCTCATATATGTCCATTGCCTTTGAGGGCAATCCATTATCTAAGAAGGCTCTAATTATGTCCCCGAAGGTATGCTGATCAAACAGAACTTCCTCTCTCCTCAAATCTCGCCAAACCTGATTTGCTTCATCTACCTTCTTGTTTCTTGCAAGCATCATGAGCATGTCCCTGAAAAAGAACATGTCTGGCCGATACCAAATCTCTTTGCGTGCAACATCATATAACTGAAGAATACACACTGAAGCTGAATGAATAAAAATCACACACGCATGAAAGATAGATATAAGTAAAAATTAAGACAGCAGCGTGAATATTTGTCCCCTTGACATAGTTGAGCTATCATATAGTCAACAGAAAGAGCAAACACGACTCCAAACAAAATTTTGGCTTCTGACCTTCCACTCAAAACTCGCTCGTACATAAAATAGAACATTTAATGAAATGTATCAAGTTCTCCAGTAAGATTGTGCAAACATGCAGAAGGAAAAGGTGGTTCACAGTATTAGCAACACACTGGGAGAGTCAAATGCCTTCATGTGCAAATTTGAATGACTCTTTTTCCCTCCATTTACTAGTTTCACAGCTGGAGCCTTGGCAATCCATGTGATTTTAACCTCATCTAAAGCGAAGAGTTTCTCAATCCATCAATTTGTCTTCAAATCATCTGGAAAATTATGTATAAAAAAATCCTCCATTTTGAGGATGATTACATAGAGCATCCTTTATTTTGAAACTGCAGTTAATGTTCATGAAAAAAGTTAACACTTAAAGATACTCATGCCCCAACTCTTAGATCACATCCACTGGCATCCAATTGTCAGTTGTGTATACAATAACTGCAAATACCTATGGCTTGCATTTTGATCCATTTTTTTGTATTCTATTCATATGGTGGATACTCGACTAATTTAAACCAAAACTCCAAATGGGAAACTTCTTTAGCAGTGCAAATAAATCATTCATTACATGCCCAAAACAGTATATTCAAACCTGCTCTAGAAGCTAGCTGAACACACTTTGACAGAAGCATAATTTTCTCAACACCAGTACTGCTCCTGAAGAACAAACCAAAGTGATGGAAAGATAGACCATCCAACAAAACAGAATGTGGAAGCTAAGGCGCCTCTGGTTGCCCACAGGCAAAAGGAAAAAAGTTTGACCACTTGGCTTGTACACTAACAAAATAGTACACAATAACCTATCCAGATCCCAGGCAGCCTGAGCATAAATTACGGGCCGTGATTTTTACTATGATTATACAACTACGACCTATACATACCACAAAGATTCGACTAAAAACTTCATTAAATAGCCACATCAACGAGCACTGCCGGACTACAACACCAATATACTACAGCAAATGAACAAGCTTCGTCCATGTTGTCTCTGAGAAATCAAACCAACCTCAAGTTCCCGACAACGCAAAAAATGCTTTCGCAGCACCCATTCATAAAACCAAAAGAATAAAAAATATTGTTTTTGATAAACCATTCGAAAACAACTTTCCTCTTCGAGATGAACCAACATGAAAGCACCTTCCCTTTCGTCTCACCAATAGATAAAACAAAAACAATCTCTTGACACCACTTCACCATCATCAATCCAAATGTAGCTTTTGCAAATAAGCATCTTTCAGCTTCATATAAGTTAAAAACATTTATAGCTCCAAAGTTCTACGGTCTTGAACAGGACCAAAATCAAAAGCAAAAGACGAATCAATTTTAAATGAATTAATAATTTAAGACAATAATTTAAGAAGATAATCAGAAAAGATTTCAAATTCAATCACATGGGCTTTGCTTACTGATTATTAATCAATCTTTAAGAACTAAGTAAATAGGCAAACAATTAACAGGGCCAAACCTTCATGCAGAGAAAGACCTGGTCTTGCCTTTGAAACTCAGCGAGAACAGCAAGAAGATCAGACTTAAGCAAGCGAGAAACATTTGATTTAATAAACCGGTCGAGTCGGACAGGATTCAATTGGAGTCTCTTCAGCTCTTTGGCCGCCATCAATCCTTCTTTTCCCATCTCCTTCTTTCGTCTCCATATCGATAAGCTAGGCCTTGAAGCTGAATGATTATAAATGCAGCGAAAAAACACCAAAATTTGATGTTTTTGAGTGAGAGAATGGGGTTTTCTATGCAGGGAGGCTTTTCCTAGAAAATTTGAAGCCAAACGCCACATAAGAACCTCAATAGTCAATACAACTGTGTTCGCAAGAAACCAAGACTCTCAGCGAATCCAAACAGGTTTTCTATGTGAAATGCTCGCTTGTGTTGTTCAGGTACCGGCAGTAAATTTGTGAATGGTTTAAGGTTGGGCAAACCTTATTTCCATTCCCCGACTATTAAATTATATTCATTTCAGCTCTCAAAATTAAAATGTTTTCTGTTGCTTCCCCATGCTAGAATTTCCTCAATTGGATGGACCCTCTTCTATTTTTTTTAATATGAATCGTTAATTCTCCTCGAGATGGTTTCTTTTTATTGTATAATTTTGTAAATTTAGATGGAATAAGTTGAAGGACTCAATTGAATAATGTTCAATACTTTAGATATTCAATTGAGAATATTTTTTGTTTGGAATTAGTAGATAGTTAATGGAACATTTCTCTACATGGTTCAACCATGCTTTTTATAAATTTTATTTTTTTAATTTTAAATTAGTTTTTTAATGATTTTTTTATTATTTTGACGGATTAATATCAAAATAAGTTTTAAAAACTACAAAATATATTATTTTAATATATTTTTAAGTAAAAATAATCCATCCTACTATTCTGACAAACCCTATCTAATATAAATATTACCAATAAAGGTTTGGTGCTTGTGTTTTTTAAATAAAATTTTAGGTTCAAGCTTTATAAATAAAGCATATCATAGTCGAAAGAGTTTTAACTCTTAATCAATTGATCTGTTTTAACTGGATTAGTCAGAATGCTGGCTTCCAAATACCGGTAAATCAAACAAAAAAACACTACCTAATACTCGAGAGACTAATTTAAGTTAAAAGGCTCCAATACATGACTATTGAGAGCAGCATGATCACGCGCAAAATCACCAGCAAGCCACACATTTCTACACCATAGGCTGATAAAGATACTTGGTCACAGAAAAACCAGGCCAGTCATGAACGCGGCACAAGCACTTTTGCAAAGAACATTTGATTGGGACACATGAAATGAGGAAGTGAATAACACGGAAAAATCCAAACAGCATATGCATCCCCAAGGCAGCCCCGCATAAAAGCAATGAAGCGTTGAGGACTCTCCTCGGCGTCCTTATCAGTGTTCTGAAAAAGACCAAAGCAGCAAATGAAGTTGACATTTTAATGGACAAAAGCGGTTGAAGCACGCAACACAAGAATTCAAAACCTGACAATATTAGATTCACGCACAGAGCAACATGGGATGGTATTGTAGCATCGATGATTACCTGGAGAAAGAAAAATATCAAGCAGCACTTGGAGTTCTGGATTAGACTTCTTTATTTTCATCAGTAACTCATCACAAGAGATGCTTGTCCCTCCTGACCTTTCCGAGGAAAAATCTGGCAAAAGCTTCATTACATCGAGATGCCCCGAGCTATTACAGAGAAACGTCAAGATGCTATTGGTTATTTCTAAGTCGAGAACAACACCCGTATCTGCCATTTGACGAAGGAGGTTTATGACTTCTTCTGTCTCGTCTTTCGAACCAAAGCCTCTTATTAATGAATCGTATACATGGTTGTCCGGTGTAATGCCAGAGGCAATCATGCTGTCAAAAGCACCTTTTGCCTCTTCCATTTGTCCAAGCTTTGACAGCCAGTTTATAAATGATGAATAAGTATAAGCATCTGGCGTCAAACCCATCGATGCATCTTCTTTGGCAGATTGAATATCCCCTGCTTTCGGAATCCCGTCAATCATTATATTGAAAGAAATGATATCAGGTTTACCGCTTGAATTTCTCAGTTCTTGAAACAATCTTCTTGCTTGCTCCAAGCTACTCTCCTTGCACAAGGATGCCATCAATGTATTGTAATCAACTAATGTCGGGTTGACTAAACATTGCTTCTGCAAAATTAAGCATGAGTGTTTTACAAAATCCATCAATCATGACGCGGTAAGTGGTTGAACTCAGAACAAACCCCATTTCATGTACTCGTTTCCAAACTTCCATGGCCTTGTCAATGATCCCTGCTTTTGTATATTCTCCAATTAAAATATACAAGTAAACAAGTTACCAAAGCTCCCCCTCTCAACCATTGTATCATAAATTTCCACAGCCTCGTCAAGGCGTCCTTCTCTGCACAGCCCTTGAATCACAGTGTTAGGTGTGATTACATCTGGTTCAACGTAATTTCCATCCACCAACAATGAACTACAAAATTTCATTGCCACTATTGCAAAGTCCCATTATTGAAGTATTGTAAGAAACCACATCCGGTCTCTTT